GACCTGCTGGGCTCCGGCGATCCTTCCGCCTCAACCTTCCAAGTAGCTGGAACTACAAGCACGTGCTACCACGCCCGGCTAATTTTTGGATTTACTGTAGAGATGAGGTCTTGCCAAATTGCCCAGGCGGGTCTCAAACCCGCGGGCTCAGGTAATTCACTCACCTTGGCCTCCCAAAGGCGCGGGATTACAGGCTGAGGCACCGAACCCGACAGGAGTGAGTGTGTGTGTGTGTGTGTGTGTGTGTTTGAAGCTCTTTCACCTCAGAATTTAAGGTAATGCCTGTTCTGAGTAACTGATTCTTAGGGAAGAATACCAAAGCTCTGGCGTCCAGGTGGGCTTCACACCTGCAGGCTCCATCAACATGAAGACCATTCTTATCACCCTGGGTCACATGTTGTGCTCCCAGTCACATGCTATGACTCTCAGGGCAGACCAGAGACCCTGAGTCGCTGGGATCTGGTGGCCTGGGATATTCATGGCAGGCATGTAGTTATCCATAGTTTTGTTTCTTGACAATTCTGAACCCCCTTCTCTGCTGACAGTACCTTTAGATTTTATGAACGCTTCTGAAAATTGGTATTTAGCAATTAGTGTTTCTGATGTATCACAGGCTAAGCTGCCCATCATGTATTTGAATATAATTCTGGCTTTCTACAGCTAATTTTGTTGAAGATAACAGAAATTATGGTTAGGCTGGGCACGGTACTCACGTCTATAATCCCAGCACTTTGAGAGGCTGAGGCAAGAGGATTGCGTGACCCCAGGGGTTCGAGACCAGCCTGGGTAAATTGGCAAGACCTTGCCTGTACGGTAAATCAAAACAATTAGCCAGACGTGGTGGCATGTGCTTGTGGTTCTAGCTACTTCGAAGTCTGAGCCGGAAGGACCGCCCGAGCCCAGCAGGTCAAGGCTGTAGTGGCTGTGAGCATGCCACTGCACTCCAGCCTGGGCGACAGAGTGAGACTCTGACTCAAAAAAAAGAAATTATGCGGCCTCGGTGGCTCAGCCTGTAATCCTGTGCCTTGGGAGGCTAAAGTGAGTGGATTGCCTGAGCCCGCGGGTTCGAGACCTGCCTGGGCAACTTGGGAAGACCTCATCTCTACAATAAATCAAAAAATTAGCCAGGTATGATAGTGCGTGCCTGTAGTTCCAGCTACTTGGAAGGCTGAGGCGGAAGGATCGCGGAGCCCAGCAGGTGGAGGCTGCGGTGGCCAGGAGC